AGAAAAAAATATATCAAACGACGCAACGCACCTTGGGTCGCTATGGAAACAGCCTCCTTGTATAATTACAAGGGTAAGGTCTGCGTACAACTGACCCCCTAGACCCCAACCTGTTGGGAATATAAGGGGTATGTTAGATGACGATGGTGTCAGGATACATCCCATTGTTAAATAGGGACCCAACGGAGGAAAAAAGGAGTAAAAAAAGTTCTGTTTAGGGTGGTTAATTTGTTATTTATGAAGTACGTTAATGAGTTATTACTTCTCAGGTGAATCGGAGGATGATCGTGAGGAGCTCATGGCTGCTGCTAACCTGGCTTGCCATGCTAGTCGTATGTATTTGGAACCCGGTTTCTTTTGATCATGTCTACTGGAGATTTTTCAGATATGCTGAGTGAGTAACTGTCAATTTTTCTCTTGGTGCAGTTAATGCTTGTACAAGTGCATTCTGGAAAACAGTAGAGTCCTTGTTTGCTTCCATTGGCCCTGATGAAAAGTCATTTTTATCAGGACAGGTGATCAAGTCAATCTTTTTATTTATTTATTTATTTTTTTTTTTGTATGATTATTGTATAATTCTGTAGCTAACTGTTGCCTAATATTCTCTTGCTCTAATTTTCATCGAGTCAGGTCAAATTAGCTGTAGAATCATGCACAAGTTATTATCCCAACTATGTCTATGGAAATAATGTTCAAGTGAAATTGGTGTGTAAATGAAGTATTACTTGCCTTATCAAAACTATGGCCGTGGAAAGTATGTTACAGTTTGAATTGTTAGGAGCCATATACAGAAGTAGATGACACTCGAGCTACTGATTCACATGCAATTGTCATGGTATTTCTCTTTATAATAAATTGAAATATGTCAATAGCAAAGGCTACCCCAGAGGTGAAGCTTGATTGCTAAATTGCACAAATCCCAAATATTCCTCGACATTTGTTTTTATTACAAAAGCAACTTCATAAAAAAATGTACAATCTTCAGGAACTGTTCGTAAAAATCTAGGGGTATTTGTACCTTCGAAGATAATTGATTATATTTTTCAAAAGTAAATGACTAAACCTCCAACTCCAAGGTAACTGATATTAAGTTAGCATGTTGTTTGCATTGATCACTATGACACTACTTTGTATGCTCGTGTGTGGTGTTGTACTTGTACCAGGCTGATTATTCCCATGAAGATACTGCAGCGCCTGATTCTTTCAATTTTGGAGGATATAGAAGCATAAAAAGTGAAATTGGGTCAAAGAACTCTTTGGATCGGATGGGATGCATTGCGCCGCTCGAAACTTCCCCTCTATATGGTTGCTCAGAAAGAGAGAAAAGATACGATGTACTTCCTCCACTTTATCAAAGGGTACTCTCCGCTCTCATTGTTGAAGATGAAATTGAAGAATCTGAAGACACTGGTTTTGGGAGGATGAGGAGCTCATTTAATGATTCATGCTTCCTTATTGGTGCCGACTGTGAACCCATTGATAAGATGAGCCTCAGTGGGCCAATGTTTGGTGCGCAATCTCTGAGAACGGGCAATGCACACATAATCTTTTCATGTAATGGAAGCGCGGACTATGATAGGAGTCATAATACTCAAAATCATTTTGGTAATGGTGAGCTGCTGCAAAGAGAGGGGGGCTATGTGCACTCTGAGGTTGAAGTGTTGGTTAGACTCTCAACATGTGATTATGTTCTCCAAAGTCTGCAGACGAGTAACTGTGACATTTCTTCTTACGAGTGCCAGTATGAGCAGATGTGTGTTGAAGAAAAGCTTGTACTCGAATTGCAGAGTGTTGGTCTGTACCTGGAAGCCGTGGTAATTTTCAGAATTTCATATAAAAGTTTTAAGTGGCTAATCATAGATCCTATGGTCCTGTCCTACTTAATGAAAATGACAAGTGAACATATGAGAAGTAGCAACTAGCACCCACACACATTGTTTATTTCTACTTGAATCATCCTCAGAATGCTGCCCATGTCAAGTTTTCATTCTTGGTTTGCTGGTTGGTTGCTTAAATACAGCCTGCTTTGAACGATAAAGAAGATGAGGCGATAAACGAGGAAATTGTACAACTAGAGAAGGGACTTCATGAACAGGTGTGTCCATTCTTTTTTTTTTTTCGGTTAGTTTTTGTTCCAAACTATAACCATGATTTATGATGAGAGATGCCCGAGTTATTGCATTTTTTCCTTTGGTCATAAAGTCTTGCCAACCTTTCTTCTGTCTACAGTTCCGGCCATTGATAACTTATTGTACTTTCCTTTGTATCTCATACTTACCCCCAGATGGGGAAGAAGAAATCTTGCTTGAATGCTATATGCAAGGCTGTTCAGGAAGGCAGGAATATTGTAGGAAGGTAAAATACATGTTTTAACCTTTACTATCAGAATTTAGGCGATGGGTGATTCATGACAAGATTTTTTTTTGGTTGTAATTACTGTAATGAAAATTTTATTGCTTTCTCAGAGACCCGGAGCAGACTGCGATGGACAAACTTGTTGAGTTGGCGTACAAGAAACTTTTGGTTAGTAATGTATTACACTTGATCATTATTACTGGAGCATCGATGTCTTCAAGAAGTCCATGCATGTGCATTCAAGTTTGCTCTGCTTTATTAGAAATTTATTAAAAACTGTGTATTTGAAACAATACCGTAGAATGATAGAAATGGGTAATTGGATGTTTCATATCAGGAAAGGTTATTTGATATTTTACTGATTTCCTCTTGGTATCGACCATGGAAATTTGTTAATTTAAAGAGCTGGTATATAATGGTGGATAAGCATATCACATTCGACCATTATGTTTGCAAAATTTTTGTGAACACTACAAGAAGGTTGTTTAATTTGCAGTAGGATGACATGGCAAGTGGAATATGCAACACACTTGTATCTAATTGAAATGGTACCCTTAATGGGTCAGAAGGAACCTCCAACAAACCTTGCTGCTGTCAATCCTTCACCTTTCAGTTTATAACTTTTTTGTTAATTATTTTAACCTAAATGGGAGATGTGAGATGTCTAACGAGATCTGATTGCCTACATTGAAATATTTTTTCTAGTGGATTATTCAATACATTTGCATAAAACATTTCCTTCATGGCGCGCACTCTTCTTCTATTCTCCCCTTTCTGGTTACAAATGTAAAAACAGATACAGAAAATTTCTGATCTTTCAAAAAACCAAAATGTAATAAAATTAATTTTCTGAAATTTAGGCTTAGATAATAATGGAGAGAGCATCGTATAAATATTTATTGCCATTATTATTGTTATTATTATTCCTTATTTATTTAATTTAGTTGTTAGGAGAATATTTATCTTTTGGAATAAGGACTTGTTTAGCAAGTTAGGAATTTAATAGATTAGGAGTTTATTTATTCTCTTCTCTTTGACTTGAACGAACAGACTTGTTGAACAGAAAAAATATCTGCTTGGGATTTTTATCTGTTTTCCCTTTCTCGTACGTTGCGCTACACCAGATAAGCTACAATTTTATGCAAATGAGGATTGCTCTATGTTACTGATGGAGTGTTCACAGTGCTGCAATTATGAAATTTACTTTATAAGAATGCTAGGGCACCATAGTAAAATAGCTTTGGCATAGCTCAGGAGGAAAGTTGGACTTTCTGCTGTCCAAGTCAGTTAGGATTTGGTAACATATCCAATGAAGCAAAGAAATAATGTAGACTAGTTTGTTGGTTAGTGTAGTTGCGGACCAATATGTCGCTCCAGGTAACTGCCTGCTTTAGTGCTTCATGAAGTATAATGGTAATTCTTGATTTTTCTCAAAGGTAGTTGCTTCAGTGCAATTACAAACCATTTGGATAACGGTTCACTAGTTCATTTTCATTGATACGTCTCGAATTTCTGTTTGAAGTAGTATTTGATAGACTCGCTGCATCTGATTGTTAGAGAGTAAATTCAAGCTACTTTCAGATTTGAATAGTGTTAATTATTCTTTGAACCGTCAGGCAACTAAAAGAAGCTTTGCTTCTAAGCATGGGATAAGTAAGGTGTCAAAACAAGTTGCTTTGACATTTGCAAAGAGGACACTCACGAGATATCGAAAATTCGAGATGGATTCAAGAACAAGCTGCTTTTCGGATCCTACACTCCGGGATATCATTTTTACCGCACCACCTCGTTTTGATGAAACAGAGATGCTTATTGGTGCTGGTCAGACACTTGCTAATGGTAAGCACTTGAATCTAGTGTACTCTATCCCGGTACTGAAGAATTGTGTTTGAGGGTCATACTTTTCTTGTAAAATTTGGTACTTGTAAAAATTATTTAAACACATAATTCTTTGTGCTAGAAAGTATGACTTAGATTCTAAAAGTACAAATGTTAGTTTAAAAGGTATGGCTGTCCCATGAAAGTGAGAATGTCTAAAACCGACCCTTTTCCTTTATGTTGTATGTAGATGCATTTGATGTTCCGGTTCATCAATCGGAGCGGGCTTTCGCGAAAAATGGGCCAATAACCAATAGAGCAAAGAGGAAGGAGCTATTTCTCGATGATGTTGGAGGAGCTGTTTTCCGAGCCTCATCTACTATGAGCGGCGAACGCAGAGCAAAATCTAAGCCCAAGCAGAAAAATGCAGAGCCATTGTCTGCAGCTAATGGCTTTAACGATAAATCCTCGGAGTTTGCTAATCTGCCGCTGAACGATATAGACGGCATTGATGAGCTGGGTGTGGATTCGGAGATTGGGGAGCCGCAGGATCTGAATTCGTGGTTTAACTTTGAAGTGGACGGATTACAGGATCATGATTCAGTCGGGCTTGAGATACCTATGGATGACTTGGCCGAACTTAACATGTTCTGATGATGATTGCTTGTTGTACAGTGGATTGATTTGATTATCTAAACTGATTAAAGAATGGTCTTGTTCTCATTTCCTTTTTTTTTGGGGGGGGATTTTTTTTAGGGCGGTCTAGAATATATTGGGTTTGCTATGCCTTAAGATATTAGTGTTAGCATGAATTGCTGCGGTAATTATGCATTGTTTATTTGTATAAACTCTGGAAAATTTGATTCAGAAGTTTTCTGTAGTTAGTGTTAAAACAGTGGTTCTTTAGAGCACAATCAATGGCTATACCTGTTTGGGAGTGTGTCTTCAGATGCCATAATATGAAACCTAATGTGATTAGTTATATTATTATTTCATGTTTGTAAATATTATTATTTATGATCACAATTATTACAAAGTAGTTTTTGCTTTTTTCAATTTTTGGGCTTGATTTTTTTTTTTTTTTTTTTTTTTTTTTTTTT